TGATCATGCGAAGACAGGAAATTAATAAACCGATTAAAAATACTGACGATTTTGTAAGTTATAATTGTGAAAACACAGCCATGTCGGTACAGATGAAAATAAGCCGACGTTTCGGTTACCTTGGATAACCTTACAATTTACTCGATTGTAAAATCGCCTTGATATAAATTACCCACGGTAACTGAAACGTCGGCTTATTTTCACCTGTACCGACATCACTGTGTTTTCACAATTACAACTTATGTAAAACATATCACATGGTGCACCGATTTTTTTATACTCCCAGAACGTCATTCGGATCTAAGACTGTTAATTATCCACAACAAAAGTTGTCTTTCATCATCTAAATAAATGTGTAAAACGGGGGAGGTGAAATTGATGTTTGGGTAGATGGTTTGAGTGAATGGGGCAGGGAGAGGANNNGAGAACGAAAGTCACAATGATGAGATGATGGTTAAAGGATAGGGCCGAGCAGGGGTAGATTAACTCCACCATAAAGCCAACGCTACCACCATCTGCTTCTGAGTGCCCAAGATAAGATATGGCTAGACCGCAGTTGTTCCAATGGTGAGAAATAACTGAATAATAAACTAAATCTTCGCCTGATAAAAGATAGTGAGCTTCCCCTCGACGTGAATAGAACGTGGAATTGAATTGTTAAATAATTGCAGCTGATTGGCACTGGAAATGATAAACCGAACAATATTTTTGCGGTTCTGTCTCTAGACTTGGTTCGAAGAGACGACAGAATTTCTATGCAATGTTTTGTACGGTGACATGGGTGGAACAGTCCTAATATAGTTACTGGGTTTGCTTACGGTGAATGTTTCTAAAAATTAAGTTTTAGGAGTATCCGATGTGCTCTGTTCATGGCTTAGGTCTCCAACCCCCCGGGGTGTTTAGTTGTTACTTTGTGTGATCGATTGCGTTTCCGTTCGCGTCTGTCTGTTCGTCTCCGGTCGATCGATCGCGTACGATCACGTGTACACAGTCTCGTTGACCTCATGTGTTTGACGTTACAGTCAGTGTGATGCTCATCTCACGCACGTGGTCATAATCCGTAGGTCAGTAGTTTTTCTCGGTAATGCACTCGTCTTCTGCTTGAGTATAGATAGATACACTGAAGCAGCATTTGTTTCCACAATGAACTTCAGGCGGAAACATGGTAGATCTGCATTGCACAATTTGCATCTGGTTATATTTTGCTGTATCCCTTCGCACGCATCCCAAAGATCATCCGATAAAATGCCTACAACAGATGAGTTAAGTTACTGGGATTGTGATCGCGATTGCCATGGTTTTACTATGACCAATCTAGAGAGAGAGAGAGAGACGAATAACTCATATTGTTCGAACAAATTCAATTTACATTTTTACTCCTAGTGCATCGTAATAAAAATGGATTGCTATGGTTTAGACGATATATTCCGCTTTTATCCAATGACATGGAAATTCGATGCATGAGGTTCACAAGACGGATCGGAGTGAGCTCATCACAGTCGCACTCCAATCATTGGGTACAACTCCATTGCATTCCAGTACAATTCGAAACTGACACCTAAGGTCAAGTCACTTTCTGATACCATGCCGACATAATGGTCCGCGATGGGAGGTTTGAATCACAATGATGTGCAGTTCAACCCACTATTTGCGAACATGACACGTGTATGAAAACAGTATCCCGATAAAAAGCGGGATTCCAAATAAGTTATTTTGAAATAAAAAGTAATAAGAAGTGACAAAGTGTTTAGGTACGACTAAGCAATTCTGGTACGGTCACAACTAACTAATTCTGTAGTTCTGATCGAGGAGAATGTGGCCAACTTCGTTAAGAAAACTACGCCAAACTCTTCCAAACTGGGTTATTTCGACCGGTTTTGTAACTTGCACCCATAGTAGATCATCATTATCATCACTATCGTACAGCGAAATACAGAGAAGAGAACTTCACTGGTCGCTGCCAAACTCGCAATGCATATGCATTGGGGTTTGTTGGACAGGTACTGCGAGAGTGTCCAGCCACTAAGCCGGAGAACGATTAGGTTTCTCAACCGAAACTTTCAGTTCTCATAAGAAGCGAGCCACTTCACAAGCACTGATGATGTTNTTACCTCGATGAATTTGCGGGTCTAGCCATTGCGAGCAAACAATCTGTGGATGTGTCCTTATTTCTTCTTCAGTGTGCCGGTGCGGCAGTGCGTTTGGATTCTGCCGAACAAAGCTATAACACAGCATCTTTTGTGGCTGTGTGGATGAATACTTTTGAAGTTTGGGATTTGATCCGTGTGTTGACTTGCGGTAGCCCATTGTCTCCATTTTTCCTGATGGCCTTCCGATGATCAAGATGTCCAGAAATGCCAGTTTTTTACACTTTTCTGTCTCCATTGCGAACCTGATGTCACTGAATGGTGGTGTTGTGCGTTCTTTCTAGTCCCGACTTCTTCAAGATGACGAATGTGTCATTATAGTATCGGAACACGGGACAAAACAGTCGGTGGAGAAGAACACATATAAACGAAGGGGTACAAGCAGAACACTGTCACTTTACAAGTACTGATGATATCACCTCGGTTGGTGATAAAACATTTGCAAACAAATTGCCAAGCTCGGCGAACAGGCGCAATGGAATTCAGTTCACCCGAGCTACGAGAACCAATTTTCAATATTTTGTCAACTCCGATTTTCTTTTGTCCACAAAAGATAACTAAAAGCATTAGGACCTTGTGACCAAAAAATTAGGTAGCCATCCCATAATTTTGTGCCTCCAACCGAGGGGAAGGGGGAGTGCATTGTTTTATGGTTAAGGAGCAGTGACAAGCGATCCACGGAGATGTTTTACTGGACAGTTGATATCTCTGCAAAAAAGCCACAAATTTCTGGTGGAAACTTCTTTGCAGCGACCAAGTTAAATCCGTTCCCACAGTCATATCACTTGGATGTACATTAACTGTCTTTGTATCCTCAACAGATGGATCCAAGCGCTCCCAGTGATGCTTGCTATCCTATCTCTTGTTTCCACAATATCTCCACCGATTCAACATCTGCAGAACGGAAGTATCCCTGAGACGAGAGTAACTGGTCTGCAGCTAGGTACATTATCATGCCGTATCGATTGAATTCTAATTACAACATGCAATCTTACTTTCAATCGGATGGCTTTATTCTCAGGAAGCAGCAGGTCACTAGTTCAAACTTTCGAGGGCTGCCTAGGAATGATGAGCTATTCTATCGTTAGGGATTTTGTACTTCCTGGCTTTCATATTTTACGGTAGATGTAACCCTTAATTTATCTGTTCACTTATACACTCAGGAAGAAAAACTGTTTGGTCTCAAAACAGCTCATTAACGTTACGAATTTACCGGCCCTTCTGAGAATTCTACCGCAAAACCCTCAGATGTATGCCGTGTGTTACCACGATCCATGTTGTCTGATGGAACAAAAACTCACCAAGGGACTGGTTCCCCACACCTACACATAACTTTCTGAATTCTATCCGTAAATTACCATCCTACCAATACATCCAGTTGTTACCGATGAACAGGTGGAGTGCAAACGTTTGGGGCGACAGTAATTTGTATGTTTAACTTCCTTGTTGACCGCTGTGCTCAACGTACTGTTTCCTTCCACCAATTTGTAGTCAAATATGGGGAGGTCTCTACGCCTATTTCTCTCTAGCCGGAACCATGGAAATCGATTCCGGAATGCGTCATCGTCTTCTGGGCGTATTGGCTGGGATCGGGGCAGTTGGTTGGTTCATGTTTCTCGCGTTGCGCAATCCCGAGGAGAACTTCGATTCGAATTCAACTCTGGACGCGTTCAAAGTGGAACCGGATTTCGAGGTGGCTGCGGTGGAAGATGACATAGAGTAAGTGGCACACTTCGAAATTTCTTGACTGAATAGTTGACCAGGGTAGTTTTGTTTTGACTTTTGTCGGATTTCAAATCCACGATTATTTTCATCGCCAAAGGCGATTCCGTAAGATTCATCGCAAAAGTTGTTGTTGTTGTTGTGGGGGTGGTGGACTAGTTTTACACCATTCGGCTTGAACATATGGAACCTGTTCCGTAACATTGAAGTATAAGCATGCTTTCTTCAATTATCGATCATGTGACACGCATCAGGAACAAAAATTTAAGAATCCCAATGTAGGTAACAGGTTAACAGATTTTTGTAACTCCCCTGGATTCATTCATTGGTCCGGTGTGGTGGAACTAAGGGAACAAGCTTTCGTCAATGCACTGGTCTGCGTGGTACATGTTTGGATTCTACACCAACTTGCCATCTTACCTGCTTCTTTCCCCTATCAATCGTCAGAATGGCAGTCTCCTACCTCAGGAAGACTAAATCTACGACTTTGCACCGCATACAACCATTGTTTTTTGTTTTTACTTCCTTCTATTGAATACACAATGATGCTATTTTCAGGAAGGGGCAAGCGATCAATCAAAGGGTTGCCATAGAACAAACAGAGAATGAGCAGTCAGGCGGTGCTAGCGGTGGGATTCCAACACACGCTATCTGGGGTGATTATTCGGTGACGTTACCACCAGTCCATCACCAACCATAATTATACACAACCATAATTAGTGTTAATGCTCGTAGCCCTGATGTGTCATTTAGGGTATGCTGACTAATTCATCATTCCGCGCCCTAATTCCATCCAAAGTGGTCTACACCAGTAGATATATTCTCGCCTGTTCGCTGAACTTGGCCATTTGTTTCATCACTGGTCAAGGTGACGCATCTTCTATGCTCAGGTACTCTGAATTTGGAAAAATGTGCTATGTGGAAAATTCCTCGTCGTCTTCGTTTGAAAACACACCGAATGAATTAGGGGTAGTCATTCTAGGACATAAATTCAGTCATGGATGCTGAAATGTACTTGGCTCCAAAGCGGAAGATTGTGTTGTTGTGCCATGACTAGTCAACGAAGTCTTCAGTTCGACAGTGTGTTCCACACGTACTTACATCTACTGCATGCCTTGGATTCTCCTATTCAGTTAAAGGCGGATTTTGATTTGTCAAGGAGCGGCTTGAAAATGATCAATCGTGTTTCCGGCCTCACCTAACCTTTTGTGATAGGATTATTTATATCATAGTTGTAATTATTTGCCGGGAGTTTGCAAACGACATTTTCTTGGTACGTGCCCGTTCATCAAATCGCACATCAATCATTCTGAATGTATTGTATGATAGTTTATTGTGTTTAACTTTTACAAGCACTGAAGCTTACATTTCAGTTGAAAAGCTATACACGCCAACTTTCAAAGAGTACCTATTTAACGGGGAGACATTTCATGGTCGAAATTAAAGACCAAGTTCAGTTGTCTTCATTTACAGCGAGAATCTTCACAGATCCCGACCACTCGTTGCACGCAGAACTGATAGGTTGTCGTTTTCATCATTCTACGCACTCCCCACTTTCATCTCGAATGAACAACCATCCAAAACCACCAATAACTTCTCTTGCACGTTTACTTACAAACAAAAAGAGGGAATAACAAGTGAAATTGTCTTAATCGTCAGCTATGAAATGCCCTCATGTCTGTAAAAATGTTTTCTCTGTTGAATTTTTTCTCTGCGACGGTTGGTGCGTATAGCTTTTCAATTGAAACTAGAGCTTAAGTACCTGTAAAGCTATGCACAATAGAATATATACAATAGGAACACGAATTACCCTCTCCCAAGCGTACCTGAAAAATTTGAAGGAAATTAAGTGATATCATAACTTGGTCAGTATCCGGTTCTTTTCCAGGAATGCATCAACAGGATGTTGTATTGTCCGTATTGGCTGACTGATAGGACCAAGTTCCGATTTCAGTCTGAATGCGAAACAACCAAACATGAGAAATTTGAACCGCAAGACGGTTTGCTAATCAGAATCTGATTCACAATTTGATGAGTGTTTTGTGAGAACAGATTCATTTAATTAACGGAATTTGGTCAAGATTGCTCAGGGAAAAAAGAACTTGGAAGAGTGGTGATCACTGTTCATTATAAAAAGTGCATCTTACAGTTAGATGATGAATAGAAACGCATATGTCAATCTCTTCAACAGTATGGTACACAGGAACACATAGTGATGAAATAGATTAGCTGCAGCCTAGTTAGAGCGCACTCTGTAAGTTGTATATCGATGGTTTGTGAAGACGCGTTTGAAGAACTGGTTGGTTGATCGTTTCTGGCTGGATGATAGTCCATTTTGGGACGGCCATTCGCGCGAGGTCAAACGCAAGGAAATAACCTCATCGCCGAGATTCGGAGTAATAATGTGACCGTTGGAAGCAACAACGTTTGCTGGATGCTATGTAGACTTGTGTGTGTGTGTGTGTGTGAGGGTCGAACTTACCATACAAACGGTCTTCAGTCTGACTAAATTGTACATTTACCTATCTCTACTGTCTTTATACCCTTGCTCTCAGGGGAGGAAACAGTAATCGTAACCTTGTTCNCAATAATTCAGCCGAGGATCACCCGGGTGCTTTCTGTAGTGGTATTTGTTTGACCAGCAAAAGTCCAGTCTGATGTGCAGTGCTCGTCCGTTCTGTTGGAAAATAGTTTGCCTAAGCGTCTGAACTGATTGCTCTGTCATTCTTTATGATTCTCTTATATGTTAAGGAGCTGACCAAGTATGCTGCTTTTCAGTGTTACCGATACCGTTTTAAACCGATATACTAGTCAATGATGTTCCATTGGATGTGCAAACTGTCTCTGGGATGCTGAATGTTGCAAATGAGGAACGCATCTTCGTAACCGTGGTCTCTACCTGCATCGTAACTAACGAACTATCCACTTCCAGTAGGCATTACGCATGGGGAGGCGCATCATTCCTTTTATGGGACAAAATTAATCTGCTTATATCCTCTGTTAAAGGTTTTATAACCAACGGTATAGATGACCAAGGTTGGAGTGTTTTCACTCTTGAAAACGTCTTCATTGCTATGATCAATCTTTGGTCATCAGCAGTATCCT